CCAAGGCTTCCTTCTCCGCCTTGTACTGAGAGTGAAATGGATTAAGAAAGAATGAAATAAAGAAGGAAAGAAACGGCGCAAATCATGGAACATGAGGATAGGTGGAATGAAATTGGATTATGAAATACCTATGCAGTATATAAATAGTATGTGATCTGTCCATTGAAAGCATATTAACACACACATTTGCAGCCTCTTCCTTGCGAGCTGAGAACACAGCTTCAAGACATAGCACCTGCAATTCAGGGGGATATAGAAAAGGTTGCAAAGCACATGCGCTACGACAACAGACCATGACAACTCATGCACCTGCACAGATGCGTACACCTTCTGTATTTGAGCTGATTGGGTAAAAGGAAAATAAATAAATAAAAACGGAACGGAACGATTGCAATAATGGGATTTAAGTACGAATGGACACTATGCCTATTTAAGCGTGTGTGCATAGTATGTGATTTGTCCATAAAAAGCATATTAACTCACACCTTTGCAGCCTCTTCCTTGCGAGCTGAGAACTCAGCTTCAAGACGTAGCACATGTAATTCAGGGGGATATAGAAAAGGTTGCAAAGCACATGCGCTACGACAACAGATCATGACACCACATGCAAATGCACAGATGCGTACTCCTTCCGCAATTGAGCTGATTGGGTAAAAAAAAAAAAAAAAAGACGGAACGATTGCAATCATGGGATTTAAGTACGAATGAACACATTGCCCATTGAATGAGTGTGTGTGAATAGTATCTGATTTGTCCATAGAAAGCATATTAACACACACCTTTGCAGCGTCTTCCTTGCGAGCTGACAACTCAGCTTCAAGACGTAGCTTATGCAATTTGGGGGAATGCAAGAAATGTTGCAGAACACATGCGCTATGACAAGAGGCCATGATAACACATGTACATGCACAGATGTGTGTACAGATACAAGGACGGAACGATTGCAATCATGGGAATTAAGTACGAATTGACACTATGCCCACTTAATGAGTGTGTGTGAAGAGTGTTTAGCTTCACGAGACGACTTAAGACTCGTGGAAACACACCTCGTTGGTGAGCTTCAACTCGGCTTTGGCGGAGTCACGCTCCAAGTCCGACTTATCCCGCTCCATCTCCACATATTTCCGCTCCACCTCCTCCTTAATTGCACGCGCTCGCAACTCCTCTTCCCTTTGCATCTAAATCGCCCCCTTCTTGGCCTCCTTAAGTTGGATGGGTAAAACAAGACGCAAATAGGGGGAAAAAATGGAGAACATGAGATGACGGACAACACTGCTCTATCCGAGTTTTAATTTTACAAAGAAGTGTGGATGGTTTGACTGCGCACTTACCTCACTGCTCGCTTTCTGCCGCAATTCCTCCATCTGCAGCATGGCCAAATAGCAATTGACATAACTACCATGAATTGTTTTCAACACCAAATCACACAGTTGTAAATGTTCAACTACACTGTTACTGTTGGCATGCATCTCACTTACATGAGCATATGTCAATGCAACGAATGTTGATTCGTTGAACCTTCCCCCCACTCCACCAGAAAAGTTTTGGTGAAACAGCAGCCGTATCAGCACATGTTTACCATCACCCTCGTTCTCCATACTTCGCATAACCCCCACTGCGTTCGCGAAGAGGGTGAAGGGAGGAGTAGAGCGCGCGGAGAAAGAAACAGGGTGGAGGCAGGCACGCCCAGCGTAGCTACATTATGGTGTCAAACTCAACAGGAGAACTCACGTGCCATCAAAGTTGTGGCAATCCACGTCGGGAGACAATGCTTGTGTGAACATAGCTCATAGTATTGAAAGCACTCACTCGGTTGATCTGACTTGTTGACAGCGAACTTGCAGTGTCTGTTAATGTACAATTCAATGTTCGTAATCTCTTCACTGTTGACATTTTCAGACAATTTCTGCAAAAAAAACAAATTTCAGGAGCATAACGTGAAATGATTGGAAAGAACGTTGAAGTGCTTTAATAACATCGCATTGAGCTAGCAGAGGAGTGAGTTAAAAAGGGAGTGAAGGAGTGAGCTAGCAGCGGAATGAGCTAGCAGGAGAGTGAAGGAGTGAGCTAGAAAGTAAATGAGCAAGCAAAGAAGTGAGATAGTAGGGAAGTAAGACAGCAGAGAGCTAGCAGGGAAGTGAGATGGCCGAGGAGTGACTAGCACGGGAGTTAAGGAGTGAGCTAGCAGGAGAGTTAGCTAGTAGGAGAATGAGCTAGCAGGGAACTGGAGGAGTGAGCTAACAGGGAAGTGAAGAAGTAAGCTAAAGGGGAGTGAAGGAGTGAGCTAGCAGGAGAGTGAGCTATCAGGGAGTGAAAGAGTTAATCTAGCAGGGAAGTGAACTAGCAAGGAAGTGAGATTATAATGGAGTCAGCTATAAGACGAGTGAGCAGCATGGGAGTGAAGGAGTAAGCTGTAAGGGAAATAAGCTAGGAGATTGAAGGAGTGAGCAAGGAGGAGAGTAAGCTAACAAGGAAGTGAGCTAGCACAGGAGTGAATAAGTAAGCTAGTAGGTAAGAGAGATAGCAGGGGAGTGAAGGAGTGAGCTACCAAGGAAGTGAGCTAGCAGGAGACTGAACTAGCAAGGTGATAATAGAGAAATGAAAACGCAAGCTAAATTGGCAGTAAGAGGTTGAGGCATTCCCCTCGCGCGGAGGCGGCCGGCGGCCGACGGGCGCAGGCGCAGACGATGAGCCCCCTCCCCCCCCCCCCCAATAACCTTAGCATTGAGCTCGCAGAGGAGTGAGTTAAAAAGGGAGTGAAGGAGTGAGCTAGCAGCGGAATGAGCTAGCAGGAGAGTGAAGGAGTGAGCTAGAAAGTGAATGAGTAAGCAAAGAAGTGAGATAGTAGGGAAGTGAGAGAACAGAGAGCTAGCAGGGAAGTGAGATAGCCGAGGAGTGACTAGCACGGGAGTTAAGGAGTGAGCTAGCAGGAGAGTTAGCTAGCAGGAGAATGAGCTAGCAGGGAACTGGAGGAGTGAGCTAACAGGGAAGTGAAGAAGTAAGCAAAAGGGGAGTGAAGGAGAGAGCTAGCAAGGAAGTGAGCTATCTGGGAGTGAAAGAGTAAATCTAGCAGGGAAGTGAGATTATAATGGAGTCAGCTATAAGACGAGTGAGCAGCATGGGAGTGAAGGAGTAAGCTGTAAGGGAAATAAGCTAGGAGATTGAAGGAGTGAGCAAGGAGGAGAGTAAGCTAGCAAGGAAGTGAGCCAGCACAGGAGTGAATAAGTAAGCTAGTAGGTAAGAGAGATAGCAGGGGAGTGAAGGAGTGAGCTACCAAAGAAGTGAGCTAGCAGGAGACTGAACTAGCAAGGTGATAATAGAGAAATGAAAACGCAAGCTAAATTGGCAGTAAGAGGTTGAGGCATTCCCCTCGCGCGGAGGCGGCCGGCGGCCGACGGGCGCAGGCGCAGACGATGAGCCCCCCCCCCCCCCCCCGGGGCGGTGGCGGGCGGCGGGCGGCGGGGGCGGCGGCAGGCGGCGGCCGGCAGGCGCGAGCCCCCCCCCCCCCCCACAATAACCTTAGCATTGAGCTCGCAGAGGAGTGAGTTAAAAATGGAGTGAAGGAGTGAGCTAGCAGCGGAATGAGCTAGCAGGAGAGTGAAGGAGTGAGCTAGAAAGTGAATGAGTAAGCAAAGAAGTGAGATAGTAGGGAAGTGAGAGAACAGAGAGCTAGCAGGGAAGTGAGATAGCCGAGGAGTGACTAGCACGGGAGTTAAGGAGTGAGCTAGCAGGAGAGTTAGCTAGCAGGAGAATGAGCTAGCAGGGAACTGGAGGAGTGAGCTAACAGGGAAGTGAAGAAGTAAGCAAAAGGGGAGTGAAGGAGAGAGCTAGCAAGGAAGTGAGCTATCTGGGAGTGAAAGAGTAAATCTAGCAGGGAAGTGAGATTATAATGGAGTCAGCTATAAGACGAGTGAGCAGCATGGGAGTGAAGGAGTAAGCTGTAAGGGAAATAAGCTAGGAGATTGAAGGAGTGAGCAAGGAGGAGAGTAAGCTAGCAAGGAAGTGAGCCAGCACAGGAGTGAAGAAGTAAGCTAGTAGGTAAGAGAGATAGCAGGGGAGTGAAGGAGTGAGCTACCAAAGAAGTGAGCTAGCAGGAGACTGAACTAGCAAGGTGCTAACAGAGAAATGAAAACGCAAGCTAAATTGGCAGTAAGAGGTTGAGGCATTCCCCTCGCGCGGAGGCGGCCGGCGGCCGACGGGCGCAGGCGCAGACGATGAGCCCCCCCCCCCCCCCCGGGGCGGTGGCGGGCGGCGGGCGGCGGGGGCGGCGGCAGGCGGCGGCCGGCAGGCGCGAGCCCCCCCCCCCCCCCCCCCCCCCCCCCCCCCCCCCCCCCCTTCCTCGGGGGCGGCGGCCGGAGCGCGGGCGACGAGCCCCCCCCCCCCCCACAATAACCTTAGCATTGAGCTCGCAGAGGAGTGAGTTAAAAATGGAGTGAAGGAGTGAGCTAGCAGCGGAATGAGCTAGCAGGAGAGTGAAGGAGTGAGCTAGAAAGTGAATGAGTAAGCAAAGAAGTGAGATAGTAGGGAAGTGAGAGAACAGAGAGCTAGCAGGGAAGTGAGATAGCTGAGGAGTGACTAGCACGGGAGTTAAGGAGTGAGCTAGCAGGAGAGTTAGCTAGCAGGAGAATGAGCTAGCAGGGAACTGGAGGAGTGAGCTAACAGGGAAGTGAAGAAGTAAGCAAAAGGGGAGTGAAGGAGAGAGCTAGCAAGGAAGTGAGCTATCTGGGAGTGAAAGAGTAAATCTAGCAGGGAAGTGAGATTATAATGGAGTCAGCTATAAGACGAGTGAGCAGCATGGGAGTGAAGGAGTAAGCTGTAAGGGAAATAAGCTAGGAGATTGAAGGAGTGAGCAAGGAGGAGAGTAAGCTAGCAAGGAAGTGAGCTAGCACAGGAGTGAAGAAGTAAGCTAGTAGGTAAGAGAGATAGCAAGGGAGTGAAGGAGTGAGCTACCAAGGAAGTGAGCTAGCAGGAGAGTGAACTAGCAAGGTGCTAACAGAGAAATGAAAACGCAAGCTAAAATCGCAGTAGGAGGTTGAGGCATTCCCCTCGGGCGGAGGCGGCCGGCGGCCGACGGGCGCAGGCGCAGACGATGAGCCCCCCCCCCCCCCCACCCCCCCCCCAGGGCGGTGGCGGGCGGCGGGCGGCGGGGGCGGCGGCAGGCGGCGGCCGGCAGGCGAGCGTCCCCCCCCCTCTCGGGGGCGGCGGCCGGCGGGCGCGAGCGCGGGCGGCGGCCGGCGGGCGCGAGCGCGGGCGACGAGCCGCCCCCCCCCTCCCTCCCTCGTGGGCGGCGGCGGGCGGCGGGCGCGGGCGACGAGCGCCCCCCCCCCCCAGGGGCGGCGGCGGCCGGCGGCCGGCGAGCGCGGGCGCGGGCGCGGGTGACGAGCCCCCCCCACCCCCCCACGGGGGCGGCGGCGGCGGGCGCGGGCGCGGGCGACGAGCCCCCCACACCCCCCCTCGGGGGCGGCGGCGGGTGCGGGCGACGAGCCCCCCCCCCACCCCCCCCCCTCTCGGGGGCGGCGGGCGCGGGCGCGGGCGACGAGCACCCCCCACCCTTCTCGGGGGCGGCGGCGGGCGCGGGCGACGAACCCCCCCCCCCCCACCCCCCTCCCCCCCCCTCTCGGGGGCGGCGGCGGGCACGGGCGCGGGCGACGAGCCCCCCCCCTCCCCCCTCTCGGGGGCGGCGGGCGCGGGCGCGGGCGACGAGCCCCTCCCCCCCCCTCGGGGGCGGCGGCGGGCGCGGGCGCGGGCGACGAGACCCCCCCCTCCCTCCTCGGGGGCGCAGGCGGGTGTCACGTCTTCCTAACACGCATGAGAGCATGGAAAAAAAATTGTAGAGCATCAATAACAGTAAGGAAATATCAAAACAGAAACGTAAGTATAAGAGGCACAACTGCATTTTGCATAACTGCATTAGTTATATACTTCTAATTGTATGAAACTTGGGTGTACTTGTTGTTATATGTATTGGTATAGAAAATCTTGTTGCTATATGTATTGGTATAGAAAATTGTGTTTGTTGTTATTGATAAGAGTTAAACTGGAGTCCTTTCAGTTTCCTGTATGGTTTCGAACAACAGAGCTAAATCGGTTGTACAAATTACCCACGCAAAACTCTACATACTGTTAAGGCGCGAATCTTATATTCGTTCATTTCTTATGGTAACTTGCGCGACCTTGCCTTCCTCTCACAGCAGAATGCAGCATCAAAATTCCGCCTATTAAATTGGTAAATAATTGGTCCAATTTTGGTGTTTCCGTCCAAAATTGGACCATTATTGGTCTCATTGTTTGGACCAATGTTTGTATAGTTGCTAAGTTGAATTTTGTGCTATATTTGACCGAAGTTTAGGTGAAATTGAGGACCATTTTTTTTCCAAGCCTACTTTCAGCTTTATCCCAAGTTGGACCAAGTATGGTCCCAATTTAAAGTCTCCCGTGTCCTGGATTGGCCATATACGAAATTGCCATTTGTATGAAATTTCAAATTTAAATCTTTTTTTTATTGTAAAAACAAATTACAACATAGTGTACCTCCAACACCAGCAAAACAATACAGTACAACGCTACTGCTCCTGCACTACAACGCTTAAGGATTACTATATGATTTTACTCAGGCTACTGCTGGTTCCTACTACAATGCATATGCCCCTCTGCACCTGTCCCCCTGCTGCTGCTACTGGTTGCTACTGTCACTCCTATGCTCCTCCGCACCTGTTCCCCTGATGCTTGACTAGTTGCTGCTGCCACTTCTACGCCCCTCCGCACCTGTCCCTCTGCTGCTCCTACAGGTTGCAATTGCCACCGCTACTCCCCTCCGCACCTATCCCCCTGCTGCTGCTGCAGGTTGCTACTGCCACTACTACGCCCTTCCGCGCCAGTCCCCCTGCTGCTCCTGCAGATTGCTACTGGATCTGCTATGCCCCTCGGTTTCCTGTCATCCTGCTGCTCCTACAGACTACTACTGCCTCTGCTATGCCCTTCGTTTTCCTGTCCCCCTGCTGCTCCTGCAGATTGCTACTACCACTGATGTGCCGCTCCGCACCTGTCCCCCTGCTGCTGCTGCGGATTCTGGATCCACTGCGGATTCTGGATCCACTGCTATGCCCTTCGTTTTCCTGTCCCCCTGCTGCTCCTCCAGATTGCTACTACCACTGATGTGCCCCTCCGCACCTGTCCCCCTGCTGCTGCTGCAGATTGCTGCATCCACTGATATGCCCCTCGTTTTCTTGTCCTCCTGCTCCTGCTAATTGCTACAGCCACTTATATGCCCCTCTGCACCAATCCCCCTGCTGCTGTTGCAGGTTGCTACTATCACAGCTAAGCCCCTCCGCACCGATCCCCTTGCTGCTGCTGCAGATTGCTACCGCCACTACTAAGCCCCTCCCATCCTGTCCCCCTAGTGCTGCTGCAGATCTCATTGATCAGGGGTTGGGGGTGACAGGTGCAGGTCGCGCAGCCTGCGCAAAGAGGCATAGGGGACGGAAGGAAGGGGACGGAAGAGACGGGAGGAAGGGGACGGAAGAGATGAGAGGAATTCAGCAAAGCTTGTGACACAGCAAGATGTTGGTGCCATATCAGCAAAGTGTTGGTCCTAGGAATGACTTGCCTGCACCCTGCTGACAAAGGTCTCCATGTCGGACGCGTCGATGTAGACGCCGTTGGGGAAGTTGAATGTGTTTGACGACGACTCCGACCGCGTGTGCAAGCTCAAGAGAACCATCTACGGCCTCAAGCAAAGCCCTCGTGCGTGGTACACGAGGACTGACGAACACTTGCTTTCGTTGGGCTTCGTGCGGAGCGAATGTGACCACGCGCTCTACGTGCTCAACAAGGACGAGAAGAAGCTCGTTCTTCTCCTCTACGTCGACGACCTTTTCCTCGTGTCGGATTCCAAGACCCTTGTAGCGGACGTGAAGACGAAGCTTGCCGCTGAATTCTCCATGCGTAACCTCGGCGCCGTCTCCCACGACCTAGGGATGCACATCGATCGTGATCGAGGGAACAAGACCCTCAACCTCCACCAACACAAGTACTTGGAGAGTGTGGTGGATCGCTTCGGCATGATCGAGAGCAAGCCTACACCGACACCTATGGAAGCGGGATTTCATCCTTTGGCCGTGAGCGAGGAGAACCCGATGGATCCCGAGAGCGCCAAGGCCTTCCACTCGGTTGTTGGGTCGTGCATGTATGCCGCGGTGAGCACTCGACCCGACCTCTCCTTTCCCGTTGGAGTGCTTAGACGTGTTGTCTCCAACCCCATGGTCGAGCATGTGCGAGCGTCACGTCGCCTTCTTCGCTACATCAAGGGCACCACTCGAATGGGGTTGCACTACGAGAAGGGACCCATGGTGCTACAAGGCTACACGGATGCGGATTGGGCGGGAGATCCTTCAACCCGCCAAAGCACTTCGGGCTATATCTTCACCCTCGTGGGAGGTGCAATAAGTTGGCAAAGCAAGCGCCAAAACTTGATTGCACTTAGCTCCACCGAAGCGGAGTATGTGGCGCTCACTCGTGGTGGTACGAAAGCGGTTTGGCTAAGGCGCCTTCTTGCCGAGCTTGGGCACAAACAAGAAGGCCCCACTCCCATCTACGTGGACAACCAAGCCACCATTGGCCTAGCCAAGAACTCGGTCCTACACGGAAGGACAAAGCACGTTCAAATCCCTCACCACTTCATTCGCAAGCTCGTTGAAGACAACGAAGTCGAGCTTCGTTACATCAAGACCAACTCGCAACCCGCGGACTTCCTCACCAAGCCATTGCCTAGAGATGCTCTTCATGCATGTTGTGCTAAGGTAGGCTTGCATGCTTAGGTGTGCGTGGGGTGCAAGGGGGAGTGTTGGAAGTGTGGGGGACGGGATTGCCCCCCACGCGAAAACCTCCCTTGACTCGGACCAAGGGAGGGTTCTTTCTCGGAATGAGGGGTGACGGCGGATTGCCCGCGTCGCCACTCAACCAAGTTCGCCCCCGGTTGGGTCCGAATTGTTGTGAGGGCGCCACTTGGCGGTGCCTCAAGCAATGACGAGAAAAACGAGGGGTTGAGCGAATGTTACGAACATCCGCGACCCCCGTTATGAAATCGTGTAACACACGCTTTTGGCGTGTTGAAATGAACCCGGCAAAGTCCGAAATTGTGAACGCGAACGTCGCGGAAATTGGACGCAATCCTGAGTCCGAATTTCTAGCGAGTCGCGCGCGGTTCGATGTTACAATCTTGCTTGCAGGTTTTAGCTATAAAACCAGAGAGCAAAACCAGAGAGTTATCTTCAATTCGTCACTTGTACCCATCTTTATATAAACAGCTATTGCTCTCTCATCTCTTGGGCAATATCTGTGATCTCAAGTGCTACGGAATCCTTGCTCCAAGCCCATCGGATTGATCATAGGCTCTGCCTCTAACTCGCCAAGTTCATTCTGTGGCGTTGCTTAGTCGGAGACGGTTTCTTGCAGTCCTTCGGTTTTTTTTTTTTTTTTTTTTTTTCTCTCTCAACTCTTTACGGTGCATGAGAAAACGTACGAAACCCCACCACAGCAACGGCGAAAGTGAACGTGTAGCCGTCGTGGCCCCACGAAACCTCGAGCTGCCTCAGATAGTTATAGGAACAAACTTAGTTAACTAAGCTACTTAACACAGCTTACCTGGGCGATGGCGCACGTGAACGCGTGGCCGACGTGACCCTCTATTGTGGTCTCACGTAATTACCTATGCTACAAAAAACGATTAATGTACACAAGAAACATACGTAACCGCACCTGAGCAATGGCGCACGTGAACGCGTGGCCGACGTGGCCCCACGCGTGGCACCCGATGCGAGCCCCAGGGAGCAAAGCGAAGAGCGACACGAACGTTACAAGCAAGCGGGGGTGCGACACGGCGCGAAGAGCGGCTCGAGAAACGACACGTGCCATCGGAACGGGAACGGGAAATTCTTTGAGGAAGACGTTAAGATACTTATTCTCGCTGCTTCAATTAGAGGTTACTAAGAGAGGTAAAGGCGATGGCGGAGGAAAAGCGTGGAGGAGCGGAGGAGTGAATGAGCGGAGAGGCAGAAAAGAAGGGAATTCTGAATTCAGTGAACACTGCTGCAAGAGGGGTTCATGCGTTCTGCACTGCATTGAAATGGCAAATTCGTTTCGACACGTACCGTATTCGAACGTTTTGAATCGGAATGGAACACACCGGAACCAAACCTGTTTCGATTTAGGGCATGCCCGGCCAACTTTTTCGGGATCACATCTCACGCACCTTGTCCAGCGAATCGGTCGCGAAGGCTCAGAAGTCCGGCGAAGCGTCTCCGCACACACTTTACGCTGTTACATCGGTTCGCTAATTCCTCTGTGCCGTCGTAATAGATACGGTAACTGTGCAGTTACGTAGCCCAATGACGAAACTCAAGTATTCGTGCGCTATAATGTGACTACGGTACTAGGAGAAAACTCGAACTGTAAAACCCATTTCACCAACACTGTTTCTTGTGATCTTGCATTAGTTTCTATGCCCTAGGTCCTAAGCTTCAGCCCTACCCTCCCTAGCTTCTTTGCTTCTCACCTCATATAACACAACCAACTGCTTCTCACCTCAACTCAAGGAACACATTCGTAATAGTAAGTGACTACAGTAGCATGATGTCGCCTTCATCCACCATTGTATCAACCACAGTAGCCAACTTCCCTTCGTACTTTTTCCCTTTCTTCAATCTAAACACCACCGCAAACACATCTACATCCATAGATCTCTCTGCAATCAGCCTCCCAATCACCCGACACGCATTCTCATCCACGAGAGATGGAAGCGACATCCTCAAATCCTTCGCACTCGTAGTCGCAACCGAAACCACCCGGCTGGTAACCCTATGCATCACTTTCGCGCTCACGTAACGCTTGGAAATGTACACGTCAAGAATAAACGGCTTTACGGACTTCTCGTGGCGTTCTTTCCGGGACTTGGCCTTGGGCTTGGCTGTCTTGCCGCCGCTGCCTCCTGCTGACTTGCCTCCTTTTCGAGTCCAGCCAGCTGCCTCTGTTTTGGGGAGGATCTGAGTGTTTCTATGGCTGGTGGGGTTGAGCGAGCCGTCCCACCCCTGTAATGGAATCAAGAAACAAGGGGAGGGAGGAGCAATGCGAGGTGTTCGCTTCGCAGGCAACCACTGGGGTGCGTTCAGATGCACAGGAGATCACAGGGATCTTTTTTTTTTTCGGTCAGCCCGATTTGTTTTCAGCGAAATGTCCAGCGTCTCCGGCTGTGTCCGGACGCGGGACGCTACCCCGCCTAAGAGTCTTTCTCATCAAAGCACAAGGGTGCGTAGGGAGGAGTGTTTCTTTGGGTGGTGAGCGTGAGCGGGCTCTCCCACCCCTGAAATGGTGTTTAGGAATAAGAAGAGGGAAGAGCAATGAGAGGTGCTCGCAGGGAATCACTGGGGTGCGTTGGGGTGCACAGGGGATCACAAGGGTGCGTTGGAAGGAGTGCTTCTCTGGCTGGTGGGAGCGAGCGAGCTGTCCCACCTCTGCAATAAAATGAAGGAGCAAGGGAGCTCAGAGGGGAAAGAGTAGCAATGTGAGGCATGCACAGGCTGGCACAAGGGTGCACTAAGGTGTACAAGGGATCATAAGGGTGCACTAAGGTGTACAAGGGATCATAAGGGTGCACTAAGGTGTACAAGGGATCATAAGGGTGCACTAAGATGTACAAGGGATCATAAGGGTGCATAGGGGTGCGTAGGGTTGCAAAGGCGTGTGTGGGAGAGCTCAGGGTTGTATGACAAACGAAGAGAAGCAACAGGATGCGAGAAGTTGAACTCTAGGAGGGAGCGGTTCAGTATGGGGGGGAGATATTATGGATTGGTGGGGGGAAAATAACAAGGCTGGCCCAACACGACTGCATCAACCCTTCTTTGCAATATTAATCTACTCCTCCAATGTTCTTGAATCAAACCACATCAATTCAAGCGACACTCCAAGTATCCAAGAGGACATGTAAGCAACACCCGGCCATATCGCGTTCACCCGTGCAACATGGATCATATTGTAAAGTGTACCGACCGCATAGTATCATGCTGCATAGTGTCCTCGTACCCCACACAGCCATACCTCATACCGTCATACCGCATGAAGCCATACGTCATACCGTCATACCCCATAAAGCTATACCCCATACCGTCATACCCCATAGAGCCATACCCCATAGCGTCGTACCCCATAGTGCCATACCCCATACGCTGTATCCCATCATGCCATACCCTATTGC